GACTAAAAAGCAGGCGTTAAAAGGATTAGAAGAGTTAATTAGGCCATTTAAAGTCATGCCTTTTACCCTTTTCAGTGAAGGATATATTTTTTCACAGTAATATTTCAACACTGCAGTTGTAGTTTAAACAAACAAGTGAAAGAATGCAGAGACTTATTCAAAAGACATGTCATAACATTGTTTTATATTTTTAAAATTTATAGTTGCATTCAAGGGATTCCTGTGGGCTTTAGTAAGTTTATTTCCTTTTTGGTTTTAATTAGGAAACCTGACTGGAGATGTACATGGCTGTATAAGCTATAGAAATGGCAATGCTTTTATCTGGTTATATTTGATGCTAGTGATTTTTTTGTTTGTTTAATAAAGTGTCAGTGATGTTATGGTGTCAGTAGAATTTTTTTAAGAATGGAGGAAATGAAACCAAATATTTACTTAAAGTCATTTTGAATGTTGCAAAAGTATGTGCTTATTGAGAAAGCTGAGTTTTCTCTAAGGAACAAACTCTTAAATTTCTATGTTTTTTCTGCCTATCAGTTTGAGTCTGGGGCCTTGTGAAACTCTGTAAACAAAGTAAGTATTCAGAAAAACATTCTTTTCTTTGTGCTGACAGAGGAAAGGCAGAGGAGAAAAGATGTGGAGTAGATGAGCCATTCCCTGAGATTTTCTGAAGAGCTCACTGACAACCCTCTTTGGATTTTTTAGTCATAAGAATACATCTTGGTCACTCTCTGAGACCATCCTCTGCCTCCAAAGGTGAGAAGTAAAGAAACCATCAGTACGTGAAGTCAGCAATGGCGCAAGGTCCTCAGTGACTGGTGTGCACGCCATGTTCTAATACAACTTTGTCCCTAAATCCACCCGACCTGGAGTGACCTCAGAATTTCACGGTTGTCAGTTTCCTGTTAGAGCAGATCCCTGCCTCATCTCCCCTCCCTCATCCCGCCTCCCTCCCCCTGAAGCCCACAGTGCTCACCCTAAAGGCACAGGTTCCCTGAGCTTTCTCCTCTTGAATGCCGACATTTTTACCCTGCTTATCAAGAGCTGCTTGCGTATTTCCTCCACCTGCTCCCATTTGTCTTTATTTTTACCCCGCACCCGTTCCTCCCTCTGGGGCCACAATTGCATCATAAAAAGCACTCTCAAATCTTGTTCTTTCTCTTCTTTCTTTTTATTGGTCTGCCCTCAATCTAAAGTCTTTAAATATTAAAGGTTATTATAGGCCAAATTTATTTGCCCTTTTCTGTTATACATGGTTATAATGAGATCCAGAGAAATTAATTGTTCAAGTTTAATACATAGGATTACTACAAGAAGTATGTATATTAAATATGCCTCTCATAGTTGTTAACATTCTTAGGATAATGTTATATTTTATATTATTTTTAAGACATCATCATCAGAAATAAATCTAATGGTGGTATGATCAAATTAATTCATTATTGAGGGTTTTTTTTTTTTGTCAGTCTTAACGATCATATCAGATCAGTGTTAGGAAGTCCACCTGACACTGAGCTATGCTATAAGCCCTAAATGTTTATTTTTTTATTGACCATGTACTATGTGCCAATAATTATTTTACATAGTGAAAATTCATCTATAAATAAAGCATAAAAATACCAGACTTTATGAATTTTGTATGCTAAAGGAAGATTAATTCTAATTTGATGCATGGCCATGGGTGGTGCTAAAAATCCAAGCAGGGAAAGAAAAGTGGTGTGGGGCTGGATGTCCTTGTATGTGTGACTGGGTTGGAAAGGGGTAAAATCAAGGCTCTAGAAATAAGAAAATTAAATATGCTGGAACTGAATCAAAGAAGCAGAGCCATGTTTTCATTTTTGCTAGTTAAAGAGGATTATTCAGTATTGTTGTAGCTATTAATCATGGTAGATTGTAGCAAACTGGTCCCACACTGGTGCCAGGGCCCTGCCAGTGTCACCTGTGGGGAACCAGCCCACTCCAATCTTTCCCCACCCAGGCACCACTTGTAGGGACCTTGTCCTGCTAATTTGTTCTCCTGATCAAAGAAAGGAGGATAAAAGAGTCAGTTTAACACCTGGAGAGCAACAAGGCTCTGGCCTCTAGTGGGCAGAGGAGCCCGGAGCATCTGGTTCACCTGCTTTTATTTACTCAAACCCAGGTACAAGCAATTAAAGTAACACAAGCTTCATCTGTCTTCCACTACACATTAGTACATGTTCAGGTAAACTTTTCCCAGAACCTGCAACATGCCATCATCCCTCTCTGTTTCTTCTTTGTGCTCACAGAGGAGGCCACTTAGGCCTCGAATTTCATCTGGTCTCCCAAATAGGTTGACTTCCTTGAACTAAGAAACGCCTCATAGATCAGTAAAGCACATTCCTGGAAGGACTGGGTCATAGAAGTAACCTGGGTACTGTATATGGTCTCTTGCCTTTTCTCTGAGGCATTGGTCCCCTGCTCTGCTTCCTGGCCACCAGGAACTAAGCAAGCATCTTGGCTCTGCCATGCCTTCACCGTGACATCTCTACCTTTGAACCTGCAGACCATGGACAGGAGCTCTTGAAATACTGAGCTAAAATAAACCTCTCCTCCCTCAGACGCGAATATTAGATATTTTGTCTGAGCAATGGGAAAGTAATTAATGCAGGAATTTGGTATCAAAGAGGGGTTGTTACTGTGATTGTGGTTTAGAAGCCTTTGGAACTTGTTTTCAGGGGGAGTTTGGAAAACATTGGATAGGTGGGCAGAAGAAACCTTACAGCTCTGTAAACCAAGATTGATGAGATATTCTGGTCAGAACTGAGAAGCCCAGAATGCTAATAAGAACATGGATCCTAAAGCCAGGGTCAGGAAGTCATCTGGAAATAAGGACTCTGTGGCATGTGTACTGTTGGCTGTTCCTATCCATTCTCAGATCAGACTCTGTGTATTACATGGATAGCACAATGATTATCAAATATTATAAAAACTGATTGAGAAAGAAGCTGGCATATAACTTAATATTATCCAAGGTTACATGGTTTGTGAGAGTCATGAGGAAGGTTCAGAAAAACACATACATTCATTTTACATAATGATCTTACATAATGGTCACGAGTGCTCCTGTAGGACTGTTAGACAGCACTCTTTACTCCAACATACTCATCTTAGAAAAATGAGGAGAGAGAGACAGAAAGACAGACTAAGCAGGAGAAACCTGTAACACAAGCACAAAAAATAAGGGTAAAACCCTGCTTGGAGAATAATTGTAGAAACCAGGGCATACTAAAGTTTATCAAATGTTTCTTACAGATGAAGTAACATGAAGCCTCAGAAATGACTATGTAAGTCAGTTAGGTCAACAAAATGCTATTCATCCATAATGGCACAAAAGGAGAGAGAGAGAGAGAGAGCCAAAATTGTGCTCTAAAAACCTAAAATTCACTGCTTTTAATGACAGTGAATGAATTGCTGTATAATGCAGCACTATTTAGGTTTCCTTTTTTATAACTGATATAGTACATTCCTTACCATCCTAACAAATTTAAATATTTTATAAATTAGATCTTGTGCATCGATATTGCAAACTATGAAATCTCAAGTCAGCAGATGCTTTAGACTTCAAAAAACCTGGAGAAAGATCTGATGGGAAATAGTAACACCAAAGGAAATGATGTTTAGTTTGTCCAGTGTGGTGGTTAATTGAGTAATTATCCGCCTGAGTAAACATTCCCAGCTGGATCCAGTAAGCACCGCTGGGCACGGAAGCCCACGTGAAGGAGGACTGCTGTTGGCCTGGTGTAAATGGAGGATGAGCAGGAAGGGTCTGCTGATCTTCCTGGGGCAGCTTTGTTGCAACCGCGTTTCTTTGGAGGAGTTCTGCCTGTGTTTTTCTAAAGAGCTTTGGCTGTTTTCCTTCTTCAGGGGAGCTTCAATCCTCCCTTCAGGGAAGTCTTCATCTTGAACAACATCTCCTGGATCCAGTGCAGCTCTCTTGGCCTTCTGGCACAGACTTCAGCTTCTGGCCCTGGCCCTTGGGTCCTTCTGGCACAGACCCTTCCGTCGCCCACCAATCCTCGGGCCTTCTGACAGAGATTTGCAGGGAACATTGGTGTGGCCTCTGAGCCTTTGACTAGATCCTTTGGGTCTCCAGCACTCAGACAGACATTTTACACTCATATCTGACTCTAGCAAGCACTGAATAACACACCCAATTTTCAAATAAATTCTCCTCCCACCCCCACAAAATAAAAATGGTACTGGAATGCAAGGTGTGATTGAAAACTACCGCAACTATTCAAATTTCTAAAAATTCACTATGACAAAAGACACATCATCATTAGTGCCCCTCAGGATACTACTTCCATCACTTCAAACACTTCTCTCGTCATTCTTGCCCTTGTGAACAGGTCTGGAAGCGCTCTTTCCGAGTGTCACTGGCTGCACTGTCATGGCCAACTTGATGTCCTTCACTGAGTCAAAACATTCATCTTTCATAGATACCTTCACTTGGGGAGAAACCAAAAATCCTACAGTGTGAGCTCTGGGGAATACAGTAGACAAGGACACACAGTGATGTGTTTACAAAGCTGTCTTTCCACTGGCTGGCAGCACCATTCACTATATTTTTGATCATACATCATAAAGATCCCCACGGAACAGGGCTTCCAGAACTGCTTCAGAAAGTATAATTAAAAATATGCAAAATATTTTAAGAACACAATCACTTAATTTGAACAGATACAGAGCCATCTAGAGCCACCAAAACAGTAAAATACACATTTCATATACACAGGGCATTCATAGAAACAGGTGCTAAAGTAAATACAAACAAAGCCTCAAGAAACACTGAGTAAACAATAACACATGAACTATCTTTTTAACTAAAATGTAAAAAAATTATTATTGGATAGCTTTACAAGTAATGTATACATATGTGTATGAAATTAGAAAATATATAACAAAATAGCCTGAGGACAAGGAAAAAATAATGTAGAAATTACAATATTCTTCAAACTGAATGTCAAGAAAGCACATCAAAGTATGGGACAAAACAAGTTTATTAAAGTATTTACAGCTAAAAAGTAAATATATTTTAAAATTAGAAAGATAAAATAACTATGTTAAGCACCAGTCATAAATTTCTTTAAAGTGAAAGCCAAAGAAAATAAAAATAAAGAACAGAAATCTATTACATAAAGTTTATTTTAAGAAAGCTAGTTAGCACTGATCTTGTTTGACTCTGGTTTGTTAGATCGCTGTTTTGTTTTGTCTAATTTATTTGAATCTGATATGCTTAATAGTATCAAGTCTCAGAGTAAAGACAAGATTCAATAGGATGCCCATTCCGGTTTGATTATTAACTGCTTTTGAAGTCCTATAATGTCTCCAATGTTTTATTTTTATTAATATTGTTATGTACTGCTATGTTCAATTATACTATACCTATGTCTATGATATAGACGATTCTATTGAAGATAACAAGAGACATCATAGTAACCATTGTAGACTACCTTGTACTGTGGTTTTATATGACTTTTTCATTTCACGTTTTTTTTAGGAATTTGTTTTGTTTTGTCTTGCTTTGTGTTGTTTTTCCCTCTAATACAGAAAGGATAGATATACATGTAGTCTCATGCATGCATAGAAATTCTAAATAGTTTATGAGAACTGATTAACTGCAGTTAAGTATATTCTCCTTAGAAGCTGGAACAAAATAAGAATGATTTCTGTGATTGTTCAGCATAGTACTGAATGTCTTAACACTGAGAAAGAAAAGGTAGAAAGCACACTAACAGCAAAGGAAGAATGCTATGATTATTTACAGAAAGAAAAAGTCAAGGAAATATTGGAATTAATAAAAGAATTATTGAGGCAATAAACATATCATAACATTGTAGAAATCAAGAAAGCAGAAAGTAAACTAGTAGAGACCAGGTCTTGAGATAAGGGAAATACTGAGGCACTTTAACTACCAAAGAAAATCTGAACAAATAGAACATATTTGAGTTAGTTCGATACAAAATTTTTCCCTCCAGTATGACCAAAAATTCTTTATTGGGGGAGGTCTTTTTTATTAATTACATTGACTGGTACTTCATAGATATGAATAATGATCATATTCATCTCACAGGGAATTTGTACCTGTACACAATATAACTTGATTTTTTCCCATCCCATCCCCTTCCCTTCACATTCTCTTCCCCCTTATTTACAAAAACTTTGTTTCCATTTTTTTCTTCTTTCCTCGTTTTTTTCTTTTCCCTTCCTTCCTTACCCTCTCACCACTCCTTAGTTCCCCTTCCCACTTGAACAAAATTATTTTAAAGACTGCACAATTTTTAGAGGTCTACAAGCATTTTCATGTTTATATGGAAAAGTAAAACACACAAAATAGCCATGACTCACTCTTTATCCTACTGAGTATTAAGACAATTTAAAAAGTCACACACACAGAGAGAGAAACAGAGAGAGAGAGAGAGACACACACACAGAGAGAATGTCTTTTACAAGCGACAAAAACAAAACTCAATAGAGCAAAATAAATGGACTAGAAGCAGTTCTACGAATTTTGCTTTTATATAGGATATAAACAAGTGATTTAACTTTTTTTCACTATATTTCCCTAGAACATCTATAACATACCTTGGCTTTTTCTACAAATTTGTACTGTGGAAAAATCAGACCTCTGCTTCACAGTCAATTCAGTGTACTGGTTGCATTTGTTGCAATGAAAATTAGAGATGTTTAGCACCTGTAATTTGAGTAACTGACATGACACAGTAGAACCAAAGATGCTCAAATTTCAAAATAAGAGGTCTAGGTAAGGAGCAATGGAGCATTTGCAGGAAAATTCAAACAGATACACAATGAGAACAAACAGAGATGACTGACAGGCTACTCCCTACATTAGTGAACAAATGTTCCAAAATATTTCATTGAGACAAAATAGTTTCTTCAATATTACAGGGAGCACTGAAGTTCACGTCAGAGATATTAATTCACCAATATTATGGTTTATGCACTGTGTCAACTTGAGAAGTCTAGAAGCTTAACTAAGTGACTCAGCAGTTTACATCCTGGGTGCAGAGGACAAGCCATTACCATTCTAGGATAATGTTCATTGTGTCAATTTGAGAAGCTCAGAAGTTTAACTAAGTGATTCAGCAGGGGGCCAAAGTAGTAACTGCCTCAGCCTGCAAGAGGAAGGCACACAGATGTGTGAGTGCTATACCACCCCAGGGGAGCAGCCGCATACAACAAAAGGAAGCCGAGGAGGGAATGAATGCTGGTTCTTCAGTGCAGCTCCAGCCTTCACCTTCAGCTTGGATATCTTCTCCTGGCTTCTGGCACAGATTGTTCACTTTTTCCTGGGACTCTAGCATTCACCTTAGACCTTTCAGTCTTTGTCATACACTCTCTAGCCTTCCATTGTAGATTTTTCAGTGTTCCACGTTTAGACCCCTTGACCTCCTGACACAGACTTGCACAGAACACTGCAGTAAGCTCCAGACCTTGGGCTGGACCCTTCAACCTGCAGTGAGCAGACGCTCTCTCATTCAACTTTGTGGCTGACCATTGTAAGCCAATCTTTTAATTTCTTATACATTTGTATATTTGTGTTATATCTGTTTCTCTAGGAAACCCAGACTTATACAACCACTAAGTAGTGTAGGATTTTTGATAAGAAATGTCCTGTGTCTTTTTATGAGATTGCTGAAAAGTTTTTGGAGAGACTTGCACTTTCTAGGAAGAAAGAGTAGACATACTATTTCATGTTTTCCTACTAACTACAACTGAAGTCCTTAAGCATTACAGAAACATAAGAGACTCTGAAAGACAAAGAAAACATGGCAGACAGGTAGGGTCACTTATGATCAAGAAACAATGTGATAGATGATTGCCAGGGATTTCCAGCAGAAGCAGCTCACAAGCTGGAAACACCAGTAGGCACAGACAAAAGAATCAACAAAACAAAGCTGATTTTCTATAGCCAAAACACAGAAAAAGGCAGTTCAGTAAGAAAGATTTTTAAAACAACATTCTCCTTCAAGCAAACACATTTTTTGTTTTTGTCTTTTTTAAAGAGGGTAAAATTAAACATAAAGAAACAGAACAAAACATCATAAGATAACAATATAAGATAAAGATTTCCAAACAAGACAACTAGAAATCGTCACTGTCTATCATTTTGTCTCTTGTTTTCTTCCAAATAGTTGTCTATATCTTCACATACAATGAATTCCCACAAAACAAAATAGTATAGAACTGATGAGAGCAGGATGATGAAGGCATTTTAGGTCTTCAAGGCCAGATAATAAGGAAGTCAACAATGGCTGCCATAGTATCTCTCATTCTCTTCAAAATAGTTGTCCATACTTTCATGTATGCTGAAATTAAAAAAAACGAAACAGACTAAAATCACTCTGAACAAAGAGTAATAGTAGTGCTGGATTTTACAATATGACACTACAGAATCAGCACTCGGTACCTTAGTGTCTCTTTTTCTTCAAAGTAGCTTTTCATTTCATCACGCATTATATTATCAATTCTCATAAACTTTTTAGAAGTTCTACACATGCATGAGTCTCTACATGTGTACAAGCAAACACATTTGAACAAAGGCCCACTGAAAACTCTGGATTTCCACCCACAGCAAGACATAATGAGTTGCCTTACACCTGCCATGCCTGCCACAAGTGAGAATAGAGGGTGTGACTTTAGTTCTCAGTAGGCAGCAACAAGGCACCACATGCCCTCAGGGTCAGTAGAGACTCACAGTAATAGGATAACCTCTTCTTCCCTGTGGGAGCTGTAGCACAGGATACCTAATCCAGAGTGGAGATTTTCATCTGTTCCCAACAGTAATGAATTAATCCCCGTCATCAGGTCAGCAGTGGACTGGTAGGGAGCTAGTCCTTACATCTGCACCCAGCCACACAAGGAGAACTTCACTGGGGAGACAAAATACAGGGCACTAGGAAGCCAGGTAAAGGGAAATTTAAACAAGACCCAGGTTTTCATAACATAATGCTCAAACTGTCTTAAGTTTCATTCCAGTAACCAAGAACAGTTCATACTAAATGAAAGAAGATAAGACTAAATGTCAACATAGAAAGAAGAGAGATGTCAGAATGATTTGGCAATTATTTTTAAGTAACCATTTAAAAATGCTTCAACAGACAATTACAGACATGCTTGAAACAAATGAAAAAATAGTCTCAGCAAAGAAATAGAGATGCAAAGGAGAGCTAAATGGAAATTTAGAATTGGAAAACACAGTAACTGAAATTCAAAAAATTGATAGATATGCTCAAGAGCAGAAGGGAAGTTAGAGGAACAAATAGTGAACTCGATAATGGAACTACAACATCGCTCCCTGTTGGAAGCAGGTGTGGCTCAGCAGCGAAACACTTGTCCAACATGAGTGAGTTCAATACTCAGCACCAAAAAATATGTATATATATTCCTGCATCTCAACAAGACAAAAAAGAAAAGGAGGATACAGAGGAGAAAACAGCAGCCCTCAAGGACTCAAGGGACTGTAACAAAAACAACAACAAAAAAACCCCTTATATTTATCTTCCTGGAATCCCAGAGAAGGAAAGAAAGAAGAAAATTGCTCAAAGAAATAATGGCCTAAGAATAAAAAATGTGGCAGAATATAAAAGCTTACAAATTTAAGAACCTAGATGAACCCCAAATACGATGAATCCAAAGAAATCCACTTAAACTTCTGTAAACTCAAGACAAAATTATTGAAAGCAGAAAAAGAGAAACACAACCTTAGATGTATGGATTTTTCATCAAAAAAACAGGAAGACCAGAAGAAAGTTGTTATGGTTTGTGTCTAGATGTTCCCCTAAAGCCTCATGCAATCATAGGAGACAGGCTTTTCCGAAGTAGCTAAATCTAGAGTTTGTGAGTGATTATGGTCCAATCTGGGATTAAGAGTGTGAGCGCTACCCTTGCCTACAATATAGGGGGCAGAAACAGTCTTTTCTCACCCTTTTGCTCTTGTTAATTTTCCTGTCTTCTGTTGCCATGAACTGTTACTCCTCTCCTATGTGCCAATCTACCTTAACGCCAGCCAATTATGGATTGAATCCTCTACAAACTGTGAGCTAAATAAATCTTTCCCCTTTTAACTTTGAGTGTCCAGTATTTTGCCTCAGCAACAAGAAAAAAGCAACTAAGACAGAAGTTGCTACCAGAAGTGGGGTCATTGCTGTGACATTAACTGGCCATGTGGCTCAAGAGCCTTTGGAACTGGCTAGTAGGAAGGGGAAGAGATAGAAAAGGTTTGAAGATGCTGGCTGCAAAACTAGAGCTGAAACACTTTAGGCTGTACTATATGGGAGATTCTAGCTGAAAGAAATCCTGCCAGTAAAAACCAGCCTCGCATTGGTTGGTGGACTACAGATGATGTGTGTTATAGCCTGGAAGAAAGTTTGTCTGCATTTTGCTCAAGTCCAGAATCTTTACCTGAGATTGCAAATAAAGGTGGCAGACTAATTAACCTGGCAAAAGAAATTTCGAGGCAGTCAAATATTGAGGTGGTGGCATGGCTATTGTTAAGGGTTTTTCACCAGATCCATGTGGAGAATAAAGATAAAAGAACCCAGCAGAATGATTTAAAACATGTGAAAATGGCCAGAAAGGAACCTCAAGTAAAACTGTGGACTACAAAGATAGAGCAGAGGAGATCTTGATTGCTGAGAAGGAACAAGAGAATAGAAAAGATAACCTGAGGGTATCACAAGAACCAGCAAGGCTCTGTCATTCTCAGTCTCAAAATTGCAAAAATAAAGACTTTGATTTGAGAAGAACACCACAAAGCACCATGTTACAGAATGGCACCAGCCTAGAGAATTAGTTCCTCAAAATTGAATTCAGAGTGCTCAGTGATCCAGGCACTGAACCTCAACAACCAAAAGATCAGGAAGCCTGGCTACTGCTCCAAATGGCAGTGCACCTTGGTATCATCTGTGTGGTGCTGGTATTAGGTGCATACAGAATAGAATTTTAAGGTCAAAAATGCTTCCACCAAGATTTCAGAAGTAAGCCTGTGAGATCAGGAAGTGTGTCTCTGGGAGGGCAGTGTAAGCCAAAGGTGCAGTGGAGACCCCAGAAGTCTGGAAAAGCCAGAAAAATGTATCACTGAAGGGAAACTGTAAGGAGGGAGCAGAGCAGGCCCAAGAGAGAAGCCATAGCAGCTACAACTACCAGAACTTCCATAGAGGTGGAGCCATCCAAGCCATTTAGAGTTTACTTGTTGACACAAATTGCCTCAAATGCTGCACATGGAAGCACATGACTTAATGTTTGCCCTGCTGAGTTTTAGACTTGCTTGGTCCCATTCTTTTGTATCTCCCCATTTGTAAATTTTGAATATTTATCTTGTGCCATTGAATGTTGAAAATGTTTATATTTCTTTTTCTTTGCACAGAGACTCACAGATAAAGAGGATTACAACTCAGAGGAGTCTTCAGCAATGCTGAAACTGTTAGGACTTTGGTAACTCTTAGAGATGGACCAAATACCTTTTGGAATTTGGAGTTTTCATCAATGCTGAAACTGTTAGGACTTTGGTAACTCCTACAGATGGACCAAGTGCCTTTTGCATGAAGTGATGTACATGAGTCTTTGGGGAGGCCAGGGGCAAAATGTTATAGTTTGCATCTGTATGCCCCTCAAAGCCGCATGCAGTCATGGGGGCAGGCTTTTCAGAGGAAGCTGAATCTAGAGTTTTTGATTGATTCGTGGTTCAATGCTGGGATTGAGGGTGTGAGTACTACACCCACCCTATGTAGGGCAGCTTACCTACAAAATAAGGGACAGAAAAAGTCTTGTCTTACCTTTTTGATCTTGTTGATTTTGCTGTTATCCACCACCATGAACTGTTGCCCCTCTACTATGTGCCACCATACTTTGGAGTCAACTGATTATGGACTGAAACCTCTACAAACTGTGAACTAAATAAATTTTTCTCCTTTTAAACGTAAGGTGTTGGGTATTTTGTCTGAGCAATAAGAGAAAAGTAACTAAGATGGAAGTAGAATAATATCTCCTCGTGTGTACAAAGAACTGTTAACGCACAATCTATAACCAGTGAAAATATCCTTCAGGCATGAAGGAAAAGCTGGAAGAATAACATGACAGAAACATACGCAAAGTTATCACTGAAGGCTCATCCTAAAAAAAAAAATGCCTAAGAAAGTCTAACAAAAAATGCACAACTTTTTGTTAATATTAAAAGAAGCTTAGAACATTAAGAAAGGAATGAGAAGGTGGGCTTGGTGGCAAATAATTCCAGCACCCCAGAGGCTGAGCCCGAAAGATCATGTGTTCAAGGCCAGCTGGGGCTACCCGAGGCCATGCTGGACCCCATGGTGAGCCCCTGTCTCAAAAGAAAAACAAAGCAAAACAAAACAAAACAAGAAGAGAGACCAGGGAGGTGAGGGAAGGGAGATAATATGGTAAACAAAAATGGGATAACTGTAAATACAATGGACTTTTTTCCCATCTTGAGTTTTCTAAATTATATTCAATAGGTGAAGCACAAATTAAAATACTATCTGGATGCTGTACTAAATGTATGGAGAGAAAATATTTAAAATGCTTATGTTAAAAGTGGAGGAGAGTGAAGGGACAAAAGGGGCGGAAGGCTTCTGCTCTTCCCTCTAACTGCTCAGATGACTTTAGAGACTGTGCTGGATTGGGTAAATATGATGCAACACCTAGAGTATCAATAAAAATTACACAGGGACATACAAACACCAGCGATACATCAAAATAGAATCTAAGGACTGTACCAGTAACACCCCAAAAAAGGAAACACAAAGGTAAAAATCAGGAAGACACAGAATCCAAAAGATGCTGCTTCTATGGCTGTGAAAGATGAGAGCATCTGGCCTTTCCCACAGATTCTAGAGCTGACGTCTGAGGTCAGCTTCCAGCCGTGGGACACAGTGCTTCCCAGGGCTGAGGACTACAGCACAGTACAACCAAGGGCTAGCATTTTGGCTAGCTTCCCATCACTGAGCACAATTCAGCCAGGCCTAATTTCACTGATTCCTATCCCCCTTCCCACAGCTTTTGCAGAGAAGACAAAACTGTGCTGGACCAAGTCATCTCTGTGCCCCAGGACAACCCAAGGCCCTTGGACATGGCAGAAAAGCACTCTGTCCTCCATATGCACTCTCCATACTGAGAGGGGCTAGAGAGTCTCCTTTTTCTCAACTGTGTAGGAATAAGGGGTACAACAATTATAGACAAAGCACTACGGATATGCTGTGGATCACCCACACAAGCTATAAATCCAGTCAGCATCAGGGAAAGTCAGGGTTTCAAAAATGGCTATTTTAGAATCCAACTTCAAGCAGATGTTTTTAATGGCAGACGGAATTCACAAACTTTCCATTTCCTTCACTGTGCCAGGTTAAGGACAGAATGGTAATTAGCACTTAAAGTTGACCTCTTATACTCCAGCCACACAATCTGCTTCCAACTTTTAAAAGCCAAAATCTTTTCTATGTTTTCTACTGTTCTACTGAAATTCATTAAAAGTAAGAGATTTGGAAATCCTTTGCAAACAGAAAAAAGAGGTGAGTGAACGTGGGTACAAGGCTTCCTTCCGTCTCGTTGAGCTCTGAGCCTCCTGGCTGCCCACAGGAAACATCCTATCAGGTAGGATACAAAGATGGAAGTCGGCATAAAATCTCAAATTTTTCTGTGGTACAGGGACCAACATTATTAGTGCTTTTTAGAACACTAATTTTAAAAAATAAGTATGATTTTTCAAATTACTAGTCAAAACATTTAGATTTTTTAAAAAGACATTTCACATGTTTGTATCTTTAGTGCTTTTTCTTTTGTGGCAGAAATGTTAACTCTGGCACACTGAGGATATGGCTGGAGCACATCTGTGTCCACGGAAGCAACATCCAGCTCCTCAGCCCCACCTCTGCACCCATTTGTCCTTCATCCCTTCTCTACCCACTCCTCCAATGCCAATCAAGGAAAGATGTAGCTGAACGGATTGCTGCGGAAAGCATTCATCAAGGAAGAAATGGTCCACTCCTTGGGTCATGGGAAAGATGTACTGTGCAAGGAGCAAGCTATTCATGGTTTCATAATATTCAGGACAGAATGGCAGGGCCAACAAGAAAGATGAGGCCATGTCGCCCAAGAGTTTCAGGATAATAAGTATTAGAAATGATAGGATACTTTAATAATGATTATAATAGCTCATGTTCTTAGATTCCCACAGACGCTTATGAGAGCTGAACATTGAATCTAGTCCATATTCTGCTTAGATAAGCCCCAACCTTGCCCTTAGAGTGGAGAGAAAAGTTAAATATAATGCACTGTGTGGAAGCTAACAGTCACTTGGAAAAAGATGAGGATGGGCTAAAGCCACAGAGAGATCAGTTGTGTCTGAGACACTTTTAGTACAAAATTCAATACAATATAAACAAAGCTAAACTTTACTTTCACTCACAGAAACTATGTCTCAATGCTGGCATCCTGAGCTCAGATTACTATGGATACATTTTATTCTATGTGGCTGAGATACACAGGTGACATCTAGCTAATATGCCACAGGATGTCCACAGGTAGCAGCCCAGTGCAGGTCACAAACTCCCCTCCCTCCCTCTTCCTACCTTTTCCCAAAAGTGTTCGGTGCCTCCACATAGCAGATCGCATTCGGACACGGGTCAGGCACAGTTCCTCGCTTCTGCACTTGCTTCATGTAATAGTTAACAAGCCCTGGTAAGGCAAATTCATTTCTTCTACAACAAGAAAACAGTACTAAAGTTAAAAATTAACACCCCAAGTAAATGGTACCAAAATTAAAAATTAATATCCAGGTTTCAACAGCAGAGTCCAAAAAATTCAGAATTTTTTCATTTATAATATGAGGCAGATTAGTCACTACCCACCAGATTAAAGTGACTGGAAATATTAGATATGTCACAGGCTTTTAAAAAGCCAAAAGATTATTCATTCAGAGGTTGTGTGTACATGTAAAGCAAGAACTTAATTTTATTTTTCTTCTTAGAAAGAGTCAGTTAGGATCCGAGACAGTCATCTAGAACGGTGTGTAAGCATACAGACCTGATGCTAAACTGCCTGAACTGAAACTCCGGCTTCACACCCTTCAGATTAGCCGTCTCTCTGCAGATGCACCTGAGTTTCTTGTTGGTAAAGTGATGATAAAATATTCATACAGTTGTTACAAGATCAAAACAGTATATACTTCAAATAGTGAAGTTCTGGACATAGCAAGTGTTAGATAAGTATTAGCTATCACTGTTGTTACTGTGTTATTACATGTCAGCATATTCAGATAACCTCTCTGTCACACAAGCTTTAAGTGGCTAATGGGTTTGAGAGCTTCTATTCCAATAGTCCTTCTGTTCTTGTGCCATTACCGGGTACTTTAATTGTTACACATTTATAATAGAGCTTTGTCCCTTAAATTTTGGTCTCTCATCCTTTTTCTTCTTTTCCAAATTGTTTTATATATTCATAGATGCTGGAATTTTTCCTTGAATTGCATTATAGATGAGGTTGAAAGGAAACACAGCCTTTATAATGCTGCTGTTCGGGTCAAAGACGCAGCCTCCTCCCACTTGTTCAGATCTTTTATGTGTTCCCCAACGGCACATTAAATATTTCTCTGTAAAACTCATTCATCTGTCCTAGTTTATTGTACTGGGCTAGGCATTATATTTGCTCTTTAATAAGAGAAATAATAAGAAAAAATACTATTGTTTATAAATGTGTCCTAATTCAAACAGATTTTGTGGCCTTTATTACACTTTTATTACTGGTATTGAGTTTATTACTTTTTATATCTGCCAAAATGATTATATTATTGTTTTCTTTTATTATGTTAATACAGTAAGTTAAACTTATTTTTGAATGTTAAATTTGTTTTGTGATTGATAGAGTTCATATCCAGTCATGTGGCTAAATTCTTAGTTCTAAACATTTTTACAAATATTCTATGTAATATTTGCATCCACTTCCTTTCTAACTTTCACATTCACTTTCTATTACATCGAATGAGCTATTATTATACTGAATATTAAATAGCCAAAATAAACCCCTGTTAAAAATACAAAACACTATTCTTACCTTACGTCAGCCCCTTACAGGGGAGGGTTGATGAGTTTGATTATATCTGATGATAGATCCCAGAGAAGGTACTTGTATCTGGCAAAGAATATGTAGGCTGAACTTCCTGCAAAAGAACAAGAAAATATGGGTTACCCTGCAGAAGACTGGCAAGGGAATTAGATACACAAGCCCTTAGCAGGCCGAAGAAGTGCTCAACTTTATTAGCAAACATAAAAGGCTAAACTAAAGTAACAATGAAGTACTTTGTATGCATCATTTTAACACAATTTTTACATAGCAGAGTTCTACTCAGCCATCAAGGGTAAACTGGAGACATGCATAGCTAAGTAGATGCATCCTGAGGTCACACTCCTAAGTGAGACAAGCCAGATGCACATGTGTAAACATCATGTTGCTTACTGAGCATGAGAAACTGAAAGTGTACGTAAGGGCAAAAATGTATAACAGACATTGTGAAACAGGAAGAAAATGTTCACATGGGAAGGGGGGGAGGAAGAAAGAAAGGAAGGAAAAAGAAACAAGAAAAGAAGAAAAATGGAAACAAAAACCTTTTTTAAACGAGGGGACGAGGACTGAAGTGGGGGGGAGATAAGGTGAAAACTAAGATACAGTATGTACAGGTGGAAAGTCCCTGTGATGGACATGATCGTTATGTTATCTGAACTGTACCAATAAACTTAATTTAAAAAGAATATGCCACGAGAAAAACAAGGACAGGAGGAAAAAACAGAAGGAGGAAGGAAGGAAAGAGAGCGAACCACAGAATCAGTTCTGTGGAGCAAACAAAGTATTCACTGGAAGAACCCACAGTGCAAAGAACTGGCAAGACACTTAAAAGCCTTCACGTCCCCGGGTGGGAAGCATCTGACACTCGTGCCCACATGCCACCCTAATGCACTTGGCCTGTTCAGCTGCTTTACCAACCCTGAGCATATTGCAGTATTTTGCTCTCTGAAAAAATTTTAGAAAATTTTTGAACTGATTTATAAGTTGGTAAATGATATATGTAGTGATACACTGAATGTTTAAATAAAAATTATTATTGTAAAAGATACATCTCCATTAACCTACCTCAAAACCCTAGCCCTCATTTGAGTCACATTTATTCCACTGTTCTTATCACTTTCAAAAACAGCTCTGGAATCCTCTTTCACGAAGGTCTTTTCATGACTACCTGGATGTCCTGAATTGCTTCAAAGCATTACACCAACTTCTGTCAAATAACTTTATGGTGCGTCCTGATCTGTCTTATTCATTGGATGTCATACCATCCAACTCCTGGCTCTTCCGCAAGCCAAAATGACCACGAAATGTAAACATCTTGAATGAGCTCCAGCCCCCGAGGCAGCCACGGGTGCACAACTGAAGACATTCGCTGCAGAGTACTCCGGAGCTGCTGTAGAAGCAGCCCGAAGGATGGACTCCTGTGTCTGAAGTAAGGGAGAGGATTCTGAGGGAGATTCGTGGCAACGCATCGTTTACCGTGTTAATTTTTAAAATGCAACGTTCCTCCTGGGCTTGGTGGCACAGGACCATAACCCTAGCATTCTGGGAGGCTGAGGCAAGAAGACTGCCAGCCAGTTCAAGCCCACCCTGAGCAACTTAGCCAGTAAGTGAGATTCATCTCAAAAATTAAAACACGGGTTGAGGGTGTTGCTCAGTGTAAAGAGCCAGGGTTCAATCCCAGGACCACACAAAACTAATCACGGTATCTTTTGTTCGTATCTCAGATTTTAGGCGAACTTCAAGTTTGCTGACTCACCGGATGGTCTAATTTCGGCCACCATGCCCTTCCTTTAAGCATCTGCACCAGGTGTACTGAGGCTTCCCTGGGCGAATGCGACCCCAAGAAGGGCAGCTTCCCTAATCTTCTCACCTCCAAAAGAAAAGCCAACTCACTGAATCGTCTCATTTCCCTACAGTCAGCTTCGGGCTCATAACAGGAAAACTGGTCATCCAGCTGTCGTTAACCTCTGGAAAACGCACGTGTGAGCAGAAGAGACTTGGGAGCTGAGTGGCTGATGGCTCAGCAGGGGAAGAGGCAGCAGCATCCCCCAGGGTGAGGAGTCCAGGCCGGAGTGCAGGACCCTCCGGAGTGCAGCCCAGCTGTCTCTCAGGGAGGCCACTCCCAGGGCTGCCTGGCCTTTCTGCAGGAGGCAGGAGGCCTGAGGAGGTCGGGTGTGCCTGCCTGGCTCACCTGCATGGGTTCCTGGCTCTGCCTCCAGCTCCTACCTCCCGGGACGCGGCTTCTCTCAGAGCTGCGTGTGGGGATAGGAACGGGAAAAGCCAGGCCGCCCGCAGCAGTCCATCCTGGCCAAGTGGGCGCTGGGAATTGCAGCGTGGACGGTCCTCGGCTTGGGGAGCACCCTGGGGAGGCCTCTGCTCTGCTGCACCGCAGGCAGCGTGCGATAGGAACCGCCAGCTGCAGCTCCTAAGGAGGAGGCCTGCAGCTCAGGACCATGCGCCACCTGGAAGCACCTGTGCCCCCAGCCCTTCCACTTCCTGTGGTCCCCGAGGAACGCCCAGCGGGAGACCTGGCCTATGGGGGAGGCCAGCAGGCCAGCCCTCAGGCTGTAGTGGACAGGGAAAGGGCAGGCGCTGCGGGGGCAGCTGCGGTTCTTCGTGGACAAGTTGCTTGCCCATGGAGTAAGAAGACTGGCCGAAAGACGTCTGAAGATTTTCCAGAATGTGCCTGTCTTGTGGGTCCCCACTTCCCGTCAGCCAGGTCGCCCCTGCTCAGTGGCTCCCCAGGAGAACCATGGCGGCACAAGGCGCCGACACCCAGACCTGCCTGCGTTAGCGCTGGATACACAGCTGCCACTGCCTTCTCCCCACATGTGGTTCAGTTTACTCCATGGTTCCTAAAACGGCCCCACTATTGGTTGTTTTGCCTAGCAGGCCTCTTCAAATGCAAACTTTCTGGATGTAATAAGAGCACTGTCAGTCATTCATGATGAAGTGTGAATCAGTTCAGAGAAGAGGCTCTAGGTGGGAATATTCTGGAGGTGGGAGCCATCATAGGATGACTTCAGGAATCTGGAGAGTGATTAGAACTCCTGTGCCTGGAGAACTGGAGTGGGGAGAGGAAAGGTGAGGAACAGGCAGTCAGGAGGTGAAGAGGCAGAAGTGCTCTTCACTGTCCTGCTCACATCCACCCCTCGGACAGCGCCTGTGTGAGGAGGCCTTTGAGGGCAGATGTCCGATCCGCAGGAGGCAGCACCTGGCAGAGCTGGTCTACAGATCCACAGGCATTCTCAGTTTCTTCCTGCCCAGCTAAGGAGGAGCCCTCTGAATTCCTTGTCAGGAAGCCATGGTCCTGTTCTCCCCACCTGCCAACCAAACAAAGACATGCCTCAAACTGTAGCTGCCCGGGTAGGTGGAGGTGAGAGGGATTCTGGACCAGGGTTCACCCTTACACAGTTGGTTGGAGAGATTTTTTCCATATATTCTACAACGAGCATAATACAAATGGGTTTTTAGATGACTGTTGGTTCGAGCTGAGTTTTTGTTAACTGTGTGAGAGGCTGAGACAGAGATCATGCCCTTGGGCAGTATTTCTGCTCTATGAAGAAATTTGCCAGATGTGGGTTGTGTTTCGCCCTGAAGCCTTTGTAGACCCTCCCAGTCTAGCAAATGAATAGCAGTTTAATTTTTTACCTCCCTTTGGCTACTAAGAAGTAATATTCCATGACAATCTATTACAGTATCTGTGGAAAGTGTTCAGAGGTGTGTCTTTCTGCAGTTCAAGTTTCTATTAAGATTCTGTGGCTCCCAGATGACAGAAACAACAAGCCATGTGTAGGGAGTGCCCTTCCTGAGGTGCAAGGTGCAGAAGGCCTCTGCCACTGCCAGCCTCACAGTGGCAGGTAGCCCGAGGATTTTTAACTCTAGAGAATTTGTTGGCCCAAAGGAAAAAACAGGGTATGCACATGCCTGTAATCCTTGCACTTGGGACGGTGAGGCAGGAGGATCATTGCAAGTTCCAGGCCAGTCTCAGAAAGACCAAAAAAAAAAAAAAAAAAAAGTAAAAGAAAAAAACAGCGGGTGGCACCTCAGAATATCTGGCAGGGAGTGGGAGTTGGTAGCACCCATTCTCTAAACTGAGATCAAAGTGCTTCGCATTTAGCACATTGGTAAGTAATGATATCTTGCAGATTTTTATCTCAAACTTTGATAGATGAGGCTGCTTTAGAGACTTAGGAAGAATGCTTTCAATATTTGGGAAGAAAATTTTACAAACTCCAGACCCTGACCATTGTGATGATAGCTACAAGCAAACCTAACCACAGTTCCTCTTCCTTGTCCAAAGCAAGATGAAGCGTTTGCCTTTTATTTGCAGAAATCAAGCAGCAGTGAGATTTTATTATGGAAGGAAAGGCCTAGAAGAACCGCGCATAGCTTTGACTTCGCCATACCCTCTCTGTAGTGCAGGACCTTGTGTGTCTGTGGGATAGTCAAGTGCTGTCATCAGTCCTACTTTGCTGTGATCTCCTGCCTACTTTTTCACAAAGATCCGTTTGTTTGCAGGGTCTGGAACTGAAGTTAGTGGGAAGTGGGTAATCTGTGGGATGGGTCAGAAAAACAGCACTGCAAGGCTATTCTCTTCATATAATTCTATATGGACACTGTGGCCAGTTTCTGCAGGGCTCAAACTTTCCAAGGAGCTATTCCAGTATATTTGGGTTTCACAAATAAGACTAAGACCTGAGGACACCATCTTCATTGCTGAAGATTCCTTTTGGTGAACTTTTCTGCAGTGGTCTTTTAGGTCTCATTGTGCCTGCTCCCTACCTCTGCTGAGGGAGCAGTTTCATCAGCCAATCAGTCACTCCATTCACTGAATCACAAATTACTATGAGACGAATACTCATGCAATGCGTACTAACTTCCAGTGAGTTGAAAACCAGATGTAATTCCCATAAAAGAACAGAAGAAAGAAACCCAGAATTAGTTAATTATAGAAAAGAGCTCAGAGAACCTCTCAACACCCTCCAGTTGATATCAAAAAGCATCCAGTAATCAAACACTAAGCCCTCTATGCCTTAGGGTTAATGAAGTAAAGCAGCATTTCTGCTGCTCATATCAAGAGGAGAATAATGTTCTGGTAACAACTGCAGATCTGCAAAACCCAAACGCCAAAGGAGTGCTATGCGCACATACTGAAATTGGTCTACGCTTGATGGAATAAAAAATATTGCAAGATCTTCTGTGTATTGCCACAGGAGGCCATACCCTTGTGTAGGAGAAGCCATTAAACACTGCAAAGAGAAAAACCAACATCATGGGAAAATTTCCGGGAAAAAAGCCTCAAAAGATAACAGAAGTGGAAGCTGCATCGCTGTGAGGGAAAAGAAGTACAAGCCCCAGCTGATCTGAGTTGCTTTCGTTTGCTCCTGAGGTACACACTGACCCCATAATCAGGGGCACAATGTGAGTGCAAAGCCAGGCACCAGCTTCCCTTCCTAGGCTCATGGTTTGCCAAGGCTCGGCATCCTTTCCTGACAGCTTTCACACTTCACAAGGAACTTGTTTTAAGTTTTACTTTCGGACTGGGGATTTAGCTCAGCGGCATAAGCGCCTGCCTTGCAAGCAGGCAGTTGTGAGTTCGATCCCTGGTACTGATAAAAAGGAAAAAGACCAAGCAAACAACAACAACAACAACAAAACCCTGCTAAGTTTTACTTTCTGCCCTTCCATTCTAGTATATCTAAGAAAAGAACAGGAAAAAGTATATAGCTAAAATGTTGCTGATCACATCCCAAGGCAAAAATAGAAAGTTAATTCAAAATATTAGTCTTAGTAGAGTATGATCAATATTCTGGTCATGGAATGGAACTACATTTTTTGACAAATCTCTCCTATACACAGGGGACAGGAAAAGATTCAAGATTTTCAAACTGAGTTCTTATGAAACCCAAGTTACAGTTCCTGTGTTTGAATAGAGTTTAATTTTATAAATATTTTAAAATAATTTAAATATTTCTAAAATTGCAGCTTAATGCCATTGATTATAGAGTAGATTTTGAAACATTAAAAGTCAATAACCCTGTATTTTGTTAGGCTGGATTATATTCAAGGTAGAAATACTTCACAGCACATATTTTTCAGGAAAAGGATTTTCAATTAGTGAGTTGAATTGTTCAATAAACTTTTTATGTCCTTATAATAGCCAACAACTAATGGAGTGTTTACTAAATGTCAACAAACTAAGCTAAGTTTAACATTCACAACCCTATGCAATAAACACTATTAACCTCATTTTCTGGTTCAGTCAAAGCTTAAAGAGCAAACAAAGGGCCTACGAAAACAGTGAAGCCAGGGTTGGCACCTCAAAGCTGGTGGTGGAGGCCAAGCTCTTGGTGGCTGACATTCTGCCCACAGGGATCCGTAGGACATAATTCAAGAGTGGGGACACAGACTAGATGAACAGCACCAGTCTATAGTCCAGGAAATACAATGATGTCTTTGCTCCTAGCTAATAATCTGCTCAAAGCTAGATTTTAAAAACTTCAGTATTTTCCATGAAACAAATCCCTTTCAGCTCTCAGAAAAAGCACAAATTACTTTGCCCCCCATGCATGCTAGCTGTGAAGAAAATAAAATAATTATTGTAACTTGCAATTCTTTGGAATTTTTTATTCTTTTGTTAGGCATTAAGTTCACGTTATTTATGTCCAAGATTGTTTGTTGTTATTGCTTAAAAATGAGCCATTTTGAATTGCACCCAACTTCAAGATCTTCAGTAAGGAAATATTCCTGACTTGAGTATTTATTATACTTCACATAATAATAATATGGAAAATCATACATATCTAATATATATAAATAATATATGCTGCCGATTGAACCCAATGCCTCATGCATGATAGGTGTGTGCTCTACCACGAAGCTGCACCTCCAGCCAGGTCTGAGAAATTATATTTTTAAAAATAAAATAGTCAGATGGAGTCTCAGGTTCGGTAAGGAAGATGGCGGCTTGCTAGGTAGCTGGGTGGAAAACCTCTCTGGGAAAAACAACTCAGACGCTGGAATTTGACAACATGGAGATGGCTGGATGAGTGGAGAGGGATTCTCACAACCCCAGGAGGAAACTGAAGGAAAAAGAAAAATAGGAAGAGGAAGGAAAAACATGGGTGGAGGGCTGGAGCCAGATGCATTCACTGAGACTGGTCCTGCACTGTTCTAGGAGCGCCATGGAGTCACACAATCCATGGTCGTGCTGAAGCTGTGGCTGCCGATAACGGGAGTTAGTGAGTTCCAGGCCCTTGGTGGGAGGATGCGGCCCAGCATGGGGTGGAGCCAAGGTGGAGAACTGCATTAATTCTCAGTGAGTGCCGGAAATTGGGTCACACGGTAGGTGTGGCTGGCTGGAAGACATCTTTCAGTGAGGCAGAGCCCGGTGCCACGGTGGTGAAAGTCAGCTGCCCCTGGCCCAGACAGGACTGGTGGGATCAGTTTGGGCTGAGTCATGCCCCTGTTGGGACCCAATAGCCAGGGACGAAACTGTCTCGACCCTGTGACATCTGACACAGCACAGCCTAAGTTGCTGAAGGCACTTGCCAGTTGACTGGCTCAGAGAAGAGTGGTTAGCTCACAGTCCCTACATGCAATTTAGATAATAGCAAACCGGAGAAGGCAGCAAGCCCCATCCAGCATACTTCAGAATCTGTAGGCAATACAGAAAGGGCCTGAGACCTGTACCACACACCTGTCTGAAAGAAACCAGAAACATGACAAGAAAAAAGTAAGAGAAAACATCCAGCCGCTGACCCTGGGAAAATAAGCCCAGGAGAAGTAAATACAGAAGAGAACCAGTGCAGCAATCATGCCATATTCGCCATAACATCAGCGAACATAAAGAAACATCTTCGTGATGAACTTAAAACTGGAATTCTAATCCAAGTCAGGCAAGATATAAAAATATTAATTAAAGAAATGCTGAGCACCTCTCAAGAAAACACCGATGGAAGAATGGAGGAACCCAGAAAAGGAAGAGAAACCTTTGGTGAAGAATATAAACAAAATCTAGAATACATGAAACAGATCCAAAGAGATTACCAGGAAACTAGAAACTCCATTGAAAGGTGGCAAAATGCCTTCACAGAAACTAAAGTTAGCCTTTTGAAACTTGAAGAGAGATTTACCAAGTGTGATTGTGAAAGAAAAGATCTATTAAAAGTAACAGGGAACCAGGAAGTAAAAATTCAAAGGCTAGAAGATGACAAGAGGATCTATAACTTAAGAATAAAAACTGTGAATGAAGAAGCAGGAGTAACCACAAACGAATTACAAAGACTATTCACAGAAATAATTAAGGAAAACTTCCCAAGCATAGGAAAAAGAAATGATATCCAGATAAATAAGGTATACAGAACTCCAGCCAACTACAACCAAAACAGATCTACACCCAGACATATAATAATCAAGATCCCAGAAATCCACCACAACAACAGAATATTAAAAGCAGCCAGAGAAATGAAGCAGATCACATACAAAGGAAAAATCAAAATAATGACAGACTTATCAACACAAACTATCAAATCGAGAAGAGCCTGGGGAGAAATAGTCCAAGCCCTGAAAGAAAATAACCTCCAACCCAGATTGATGTACCCTGAAAAACTCTCTCTCAAAATTAATGGAGAGATAAGATGTTTTCAGGACATGGAGGAACTGTGGGAGTTCATGGCCACCAATCCAACCCTACAAAAAATATTGAAGGACATTCTAGAGAAAGAGAGAAAAATACCAGGATTCCAGCAACAGTGGCAGAGAGGCCTCATTGAAGGGGGCAGACAGTGGAATGAAGGAGAAAAATGGACAAATAATAGCAGAAAAATAGAATAGCAGAGATGAGGCAGAGAAGGTAGGTTATACTCTTTAGTATAGATAGCTCTGATACACTAACAAAAAGAAACACAGGCAGAGTAGATTAGGAGGCAGGATCCATGGAGATCCTCTGAATAGGAAATATACTTAACCTGAAAGAGGGTTAATAAACTGAGAGTCAAAGATGAGAAAATGATGCTCTATGTGACAGGGAACCAGAGAGAAATAGGGACAACTCATCCAGCAGCTGCAGATAGGTTGGAAAGTTATGACACTTTTGGGCAGTGTAGAACTACACAGCTAGAAGGAAGGAAAACCTTGTGGCTTTAGTAAAGGAGTACAGCTCAAGGTCAAGCTCAAGGGTAAAATGGTTCAGCACCACTCAGATAGATAACGGGTTGACCCCCAATCTAAAAACTAAAGGAGCTAGTGGGACCCAAAATACACAAAGCATCCTGAGAAGGGGAAAGGTGAGGAACTGCCTAAAAAAGGAAGGCAGAGGACATTGTTAATAGTGTATCAAGATTTAAAAGTCACAGTAGTCTTATCGCTCTTTTTAGATTGATTTTATTTTGTTCTGGTCTGTCTACCAATACTAGATTTGAGGGCACAGACAGCTATCCCAGACACAGACAGCTACCATATACCATGGTAACTATCCTTAATTTCCTATTAACTTAAACTGAAGCCCTGTATTACTAACATTGTCTTACTATGATGGATCTTATTTGAAGCTAGTATGTTAGACCACTGTTTTGCCTTGACTGTTTTTATTCGAATTTGGTATGCTTGATAGTATTAAGTCTAAGAGTAGAGGCAACTACTCTGAAGATGACAAGATGTAAAAGATACCCATTCCGGTTTGATTATTAGGACTTTTGAAGTCCTACAATGTCTCCAAAGTTGTATTTTTATTAAAATAGCTATGTAATGCTAAGTTCAATTATAGTATGTCTGATGATGTGGACAATTCTATTGAAAATAACAAGAGAAAGCATAGTAACTACTGTAGATCACTTAATATTGTGGTTTTATATGTCTTTTTCATTTCATGTTTTTCTAGGAATTTGTTTTATTGTCTTGCTATGATCTGTTTTTCCCTATAATACAGAAAGGATAGATCTACATGTAGAGATTCACACATGGGGAGAATTCCTAAACAGTTTATGGCAACAGATTAAATAATGCATGATGTAATGAATAGATACTTTGAAGAAGAAGAGACACTAAGAAACCCACTGCTAATTCTGTAGCATTATGATATAAAATCTAGCAATACTATTATTCATTGTTCAAAGTGATATTAGTCTAGTCTCTTATGTTCAATTTCAGCATGCATAAAGACAAGGATAGCTACTACGAAGAGAATGAGAGACATTATGGCAGTCATTATTGACTT